CAACATCCAATCACTCACTCAACATCCAATCACTCACTCAACATCCAATCACTCACTCAACACCCATTCACTCTCGCAACCCATTCGCACACTCACCACCCCATTCCCTCACTCAATACTCATTCATTGTCTCAACACCCAGTCACTGATTCAACACCCACTCACTCACTCAACACCCACTCAAAACCCATTCCCTCATTCACAACCAATTCGCTTCGTCGCGTCTCTCACTTGCAAATCACGTCGCACAGCTGCAACGCCACGCGCAGGAAGTGTCCGAGGGCGTCGCGTAGCTCTACGTCTGCGGCTTCGAAGGCCACAAACTACCTTGCCTATGGTCGCGGACCATGCATTATTTGTGCGAACTACACCTGTCTTCCCCATATTGTTAATCGGGAGGGGGGATGGAAAATTCTTAAAGGTAAGCTTAATCTATTTTTTATAAAATGTTCAATTAACTTTACGTCAAAAGTAGTTAATTATAGTCATTACTTACAAGGTTATGTATCATATAACGCCAATATTAAAATCGTTTCTAATCATATATTAGTGTGTAATTACACAAATGATTTTATTGCCGATCCGGTGGCCGATATCGCTAAGGCAGTAGTACCGTAGCGATTTCGCACCGAAGGATCGCGGGTTCGAGTTCCGCCTCGGGCATGGATGTCTTGTGTTAGTCCCTTCGCACCCCTATTATCATCATCATCATCATCATCCTCACAATTACCATACCGTTACAAGCAATAGTGGTCGCTAATGACCCAGAAGTTGATGCGAACTTAAATAGCAAAAAAAAGTTATTTTATTGAACACTAAACACAACAAACCTCTTTCATTAAGGGTGTCTTGACTCCGACAGAGCGCGTGCGCTAAGTGTTATTTTCTCACCGGATATATTTGCAAGAGACTTACACTTTTTCTAATAACCTTTTGGGGGCCACGATAAATGGCACCGCGGGCCGCAAGTTGGATAACCCTGCTTTAAGTAATCAAAAATAATATTCCAGCGAATATGATCAATTCCTCCTGTTTCCCTTTTTAAAACTGATATCATAAAGAAATAATACAGGACATTTGAAGCTCAATACATATAATAATACAGGACAAAAAGCTCTCGAAACTATCTGACATGTAAATGAACCTAATAAATCAATTGTATTTGATTATTGTACCATTAGGTTTATAATTTCATTTTTCTCCTAATGTTTTATTTACTAAAAATAAAAACAAATTACATGTAATAAATCAAAAAGTTAAATGGAAAAGGAGGCCAGAAGTGAAGGTGTCACCTCTTGTTTTATGCTGCGCGTCTGTAACAGCCACTTCCCGCTGGCAGCCATGTGGGAAGTGTATTACTTAATGCACATGTTTTTTCTTCTTTATTTCTGTATCAGCAAATAGTTAAAGTCCTTCTGTAGCGGAGTAAGGAATAAACGCATTTACGAACATAACGCAAATTCTAGAAAATCACAAATCATAACAAGGTAAGTCGATTAATTGGATTGTTGGTGAAGTAGATACCTTTTTTATTATGATAAATAAATAAAGATATTGTCAGGTATCAATATTTTAGGCAGAACTTTGTTTTCGGCCCAGAAGCTGCAAGCTCTGAAGATGATCGCTACGCGATCGAAATGATCATAAGTTGAATTAAAATATTGATACCTGACAATATCTTTATTTATTTATCATAAAGGTAAGTCGAGTTGACAGATTATTCTGGCTCCAACTTGGTTTTCAGATAATCGGTTAAGTGCAAATAAGCTGAGTTGTCAGTTTATTCACCGATATGTTCAGTGAAATTTACTGTAACACACATACCCATGCATTCATTACAACTATTGTGTTTTATAATCAGTGTAATTGTTTATTTGACTTGTAATTGCGACAGCGATGTTGATTAAGTGGTGATGGTGGTAGTGGTGGGATGGTATTGTGTTGGAGAGGGGAAGTAGTTGTGATGCAGTTTCGGTTTTAAGGTGCTGGTGTAGATAGTGGTGCAGAGTTGTTTGTTGTAGTGTTGCTGCCGGTGGCGGTTATAGTGGAGGGGGGTGCTGTATACGGTACTGGTGAATATTGAGCTGATAGTGCACGGATGGTAGGGTTGGAAGTGGTGGGTGGTGGTAATGGTTGTTGGTTGGTGGTAGTGGGGATAGAGTTTGTGGTCGTAGTGGTGAAGGGATGGTGGTGACGGAGGCGTCGCTGGTAGTGGTTGCATGGCGGCGGGGTTTGTTGTATGATGGATGGTAGTGGCGCAGTAGGAAGTAGAGGGATAGTGATGGTGGTGATGATGGTGGTGGTGGTGGAAGTGATGGTATTGGGAGTGGTCTGCCGGTGGTGGTGTTGCTGGCGGTGATAGAGGTGGTGGAGGGATGGTAAGGGCGATAGTAGTGGATGGTGGTAGAGGCTGTTGGTTAGTGTTTGTGGTAGCGGTGGGAGTGTTGGTATTGGTGATGGCGAAAGAGGTCGTGGTCGTGATGATGGTGGTGAAAGAGGTTGAGATGATTGTGGTGGCGGTGGTATTGGTGGGGCGAGAGGTGGTGGTAGTGATAGTGGTCGCAGAGGGATGGTGTTGATGTAGATGGTGGTCGTGGAAGTGGTGGTAAGAACTAGGGTGGTGGTGATGACTGTTGGGTTGGTTGATGATGGTGTTTCTGCTGATGGCTGGAAGTGGTGGAGCTGGGAGTGTTGGTGGTGGAGGAGGTGCTGGTGATGACAGAAGCAGCAGCGGTGGTGGGGGCGAGGTATTGGTAGAGGTATGGTAGAGGTAAAAGTGGTGATGATGGTGGTGAAGGTGGTGGGGCGTGTGGTGGTAGCACAGGGATGGTGGTGATGATGGTGGTGATGATGGTGGTGGTGGTGAAGGTGGTGGTGATGTAGGCAGTGGTGGAGGAAGTAGTGATAGTGGTAGAGGTCTTCGTGGAGGCGCTAAGAGAGTGCTGAGGTGGTGGTGATGATTGTGGGTTGGTTGATGATGGTAGTGGTGGAGTTGCGAGTGTTGGTGGTGGTGGTGCTGGTAGAGGCCTTCATGTCGGCGCTGAGAGAGTGCCGGTGGTGGTGTTTGTGCTAGTTGCGGTGGCGCTGAGAGCGCGCTGGTGAGACGGGGGCTGACCTTGGCCTGCGGGTCGACGAAGTGCTCGAGGTCGCGCTCGATGGGGTCGTCGGAGGCGAGCGCGAAGCCCGAGGCCGCGGCGTCGCGGCAGCCCAGCTCGCCGCCCAGCGCCGCCAGCACCTCGTCCACCGTGGACGAGCCGTCGAAGCCCACCACGTGGTACGCGCCCGACGGCAGGTGCACCGGGATCGAGTGCGGCAGCGAGTGGTGGAACGGGTTCTTCAGCAGCAGCGACAGCGCCTCCATGCGGCTTGGGCGCGCCTCGCGCGGGCCGTTGGCCAGCGTGCGCTCCAGCGCGCGCCCGCAGTACGCCGCGTACTTGCCGCACTCCGTCCTGCGCACCGTTCATTCATGCATTCATACACGGCACGGCCACTGCTATGGTCATCACTCACAGGAACGGGGAGTACCAAAAGGCATCAGACACGATCGAATTTTTTTTATATCACTAATCCACCTCATCTACCGTCTACCTGAAATACCGCGGGGGGTGGGGCTGAAGTACTCACTTGGAATCGGCGTTGCGGTGCAGGTGCAGCTTGAGGAACCACAGCAGGCGGCTGTTGCGGGGCACGAAGAGGCTGACGGCCAGCGCCAGCAGTTGCCAGCCCTGCACGAACACGAAGGCCGGCGGGTTGGTCTTGCAGTCCAGAAGGCCCCCGCCGCCGCCGCCTCCACCACCGCTGCCGCCGCCGCCGCCTCCGCCGCCGCCGCCTCCACCGACGCCGCTGCCCGTCGACGACGTCTGGCCCTGCGCCGCGTCTTTCTTAGGCGCGCGGTCTCTGACGAGCGGGCACGAACCGACCACTGCCGACTTCGTAAAAAATTGAGACGGCAATGTCCGAATACTACTGGCTTTTGAGTTGAATTGAATTAATACCTTATTTTACGTGGCGAGACTCAGACCATGAGGCCTGCTCTTCCGTCTGACCACGCAAATTTCGCTACGCTCCTTTCACCACTACTAGCAGAGAAAGGAGGTATTTCTTGGACGAGAAACAGGCGATTTTGAATTTAGCTCAGAGGCGTCATTTAGGCTTGAGGATATTTTTTTACATGCAAGTAAATCTACTAACTTGGGACGGCCGGCTTTACTTCCCCTCCCAAGGAAGGCGTACGAAGGATTTTTTCGCCCTTAAAAATCCTCGGCTTCGATCGGGTTTGAACCCGTCAACAGTCCGATACGCTAACCGTTACGCCATCGCCGCGCGCAACTTCACTTTTTGCGAACGGAGACGGCGTTGCCGACTTCGTTCCAACGAACACGACAATGGACGAAGAATGCCGGTTTCTACGAACTAAGTCAATGGCCCAGCACTGTGGGCTTCGTTTGAACGAAGACGGCATTGGCCGAACATTGCCGACTTTGCGCAAACGGTCACGACAATGGATCGATTCTACGAACGGAGACAACCAAACACGGCCGACTTCGTACGAACAGCCACGACAATTGTCGAACACTGCCGACTTCGTATGACCAGCCACGGCGGCGTTCGTCCATTGTCGAATATTTTGTTGTTTTTTTCAAAAATATTGTATTATGAAGGCAATATGTCTAGGTTTTATAGTCATGCAGGTTTTATGGCCATTGCCAGAATAACTGATTTCTTATAGCATGATCACGGAATTAGGGCTAGCTATACTAATATATTACCCTCTTTCAGTCTAATTTTACTAAAATACGGCCTGACATGATTTCAGTAACGCAAGGATTGCTGAATTATAGAAAATTCAGTATTTTTATACTGAGATTATAATAAAAAGTTGGAAACATCAGTAATTGCTCGAAATCTTACAAAAATAATAATAATAAAATGTTTAATAAGTTTGACATTGAGGACAAATGAAAGTTTCTTGGCCTTTAAATAGTTAGTTCTACACCCATGGCCATATTAACCACAAAAAATATTAAAAAATCTCTCCCACGTTGGTAAAATATTGAGCAAATTTAACGGCATTAATTTGATTAGATTGCTCGTTAAATGCCCTAAACGTTGACGTATACTGCTAAAATACTAAATCTCCCTTTGTGTGTCACTAATGATAAAATTATCTGGAAAGAAGCTATAAGGCCTACAGAGCGCCTTCAGCACGTTCTGGACCGTGGAGGCTCTTAAGTGCGAATGCGCGAGTCAACAAGCCTAGTAGGAGGCAAATGCACTCCTTACGATCTTTCGGCCACCACGCTAATACTGGTAAATATTTTCAGCTAACATCATAGCCGCTACCAGGCCACAATTGCATCGCTTACCTTATTATAAAAAATCAACACATCCATTTACATTGTTATTTATATCAATATTACTGCTTCCTGGCCGAGATCTACATTTTGGTCGCGTTACGGCGAAAGTCGTCTTAAGTACGTGCTACAGAGGGTTTAATCCGAATGTCCGTAAGTGGAGCCCGACGTTCCTACAATATCACCAGCGTTGTCAAGCTGAGTGGAATGTTAACTTCATAATGTAATAGAAGGAACTTCATAATAATCGTAACTTCAAATTAACTTTACTCCATAGCACGTCACACACTGGTTTTACATAAATAAATAAACTTGCATTTTTATACAGTATTCTTTTTTCGTCCTTTCCTCCAAGTACTAGACGTGAATTCGTCAACATTTTTGCACAACAGCTACTTTTTAATCGACATTCTTAAGAGTAATAGTGATAGAACTGGAAGTGTCCTCTAATATGCATGACAGCGACCGTACTTTATAGAACTATTTCTACCATCTAGTTTTTTGTGTGTTGTGACCATCTCGTGGAACTCATTCTAAATTATGTGCAAATACCCAAAATATCAGCTACTGGTGGATGCAGATCATTATTTTTTTTTTCAATCAGGCGTACAACATATGTTAGCGTTCATGGCCTTATAACCTTACAAAGTTAGGTACGGCATGCTGAAACTACTATGGAGAAGGGAATTGCATTAGAAGTCACATTTTCTTAGTCAACTACTACAGGACATGGAGATACATTTAACACCTTAAGTACACTTTACAGACTTCATGTTATTAATGCTTAGAAACCTAATTCATTCCCAACACCAAAGCAACACACACTCTTACAAGCACAATGGTAGGTACAACATCTACTTACGCTACACAGCTACCAGGCCGCTACAACCACCAGCACCATGACAACAATTATCACCACCACTACCACCACATAAGGCAACACAAAAAAAGCGGCTAAATTCCGAATAATGCGAAGTTACAGCTGTCACCTCCACAGTCACCATCTAGTAGTAGTGACTGACAACCACTGCTCGAATATAGCGAAACAAATAAAAAGTTCATAGTACAACACAAGACCAGCGGATCTTGATATTCCAGCGCAGGCAAATCTCGAAAAAATCGACAGCGATGATCGAGAGTTGGAAAGACCATGTCTGACCATGCACCCTACAGCAGCAACAATCAAGTTCTTTCACCAAGACAAACACAAATGACAGAAGAAGGCAAACCAACAGCGAAGCTAACATGAGATAACAGTGACACAAAAAAGCAAATGACACAGAGAAAAAAATTTACTAAATTTGACGCAGAATATCATTTCTTACTCATACGAATGATTAAGTCAAACAACGAATGCCTAGCATCAATTGAAATCAATTGATAAGTATTAACTTTAGATTACTCTATAACAACTACTTAAAAACTTTCTTGGCGATCTTAAAGTTATTAAAGACGTCTTAACTGAAACTTTGAAATTGAATCCGAAGAAATGTCATTCGTGGGATCATTTAAAACCTGTTCTTCCAATATTCTGAACAGAAACATACATTTTTTTTTTCCTTTTTGTCTAACTCAGCGACATAAACATACTGGGACTCTTTCATTCCACGCGAAGTGATTAGACATGACCTGAGATCAATACTCATTAATTTCTCAAAATATTCATCACAGGCTAACAAAATAAATAATCTGGCAAAACACGATTTATTTACTTACACACAAAATATGTTTTGCGGGTTATTTTTCCATCAGAATGTCAACGGCCAACTACTCACAAACGGAGTGGCGTGGAGCCAATAAATGCAACACTAATTTAATGATTTTAACAACAACAACAATAATAATAATAATAATAATAATAATATACCTACAAAAGATGAGGAAAATAATGCCTGAAATATTTTCGGCGTGTGTCAGTAAATATAATACACCGCAATTTTGCACGAGTCGCGTCCAGAAAGTAAGTTTCCCTGGGATGTGAACAATATTAAATATATAATGGAAACACAAGAGATAGTAATTATAAAAAATTAAACGCATTTTCACGTACATTTGCGCAATGTTTCACTAATATCAGAACTCCTTTATTGATTGACCGTTATAAAGTATTATGTTATTATGTTAATTGCGTTTATTATACACTACAAACCACTCCATCCTTAGCACAAATGCACTGTCACCCCTCCCCCGCGCCACCTCGTTCTGAAGTTTGTCTTAAGAAAAGCAATGGATTAATACATTTTATAGGAAATTTTATTTCCTACAAATTTGATGCGAATTCCATGAATCTATGAAAAGGGTGCTAATAAACCTTGAGTAATCGCTTGAATTCTGCCGAACAAGTTCCACGTCACTAAAGCTCCAGTTTCTCCTACATTTATTACACAAATTTCGCTGTATTTTCTTGATCCGATCACCAACGCTGAGCTTATTACGGATCCAATGAATGTGCCAGAAGATCCAAAATGCGGCACATCCAAAAAAAAACACACTTCTCGGATGATTCGAGGCGGCAACTAAGACACAATAAACGAAGGCTCGACGGGGGAGAGAAAAAAAGGGGGAGGAAAGAAAGAAAAAAAAGCATTAGAAAGAAAGAAACACGAAACCACAGTGCCTAAAGAAGTGCTATAGTGCGTTCAAGTGGAGGGTTGCTGAGGGAAAGACTACGAGGAAACAGCCACCAGAAACAGAAAGCCGGATGCAAGATGCAAAGACAGACGATGGAAAGAGACGATCGAGAGGAAGAAAAAGAGGAGAAGAAGGAGGAGGATGAAAAGAGGGAAGAACGTTGCGCTCTGCATATACGTTGTGGCGTTCTCACCGGAGACGATTTTTTGTAATTAAGCGTGAGTTTGGGTTACACCAACAACCCAGACGTAAAGGTCACAATGTCTCCTTTTTCTCGCAATTTGGAATAAATGAAATGTACAAGTCACAATTTACCACTAAACAAGAAGAGATTTGCTTTTCAGAATTTATTGATAAATAAATAGGCTAGACTATAACCGATGGACTACGTAAAGAGACACGAGTAATCATCGTAATAAGTCATTATCCAAATTTTAATTAAAATGAACTTACGACTGTTTATCTCAAATTCAAATCAAGATTTCTGTGTCTTCACAACTAACATCCTCATGATATTTGTAGTTTATAACGCAATTTGAATAAATTCACATCTTTAAAACAAGCTATATTTTGTCATAAGTATAGTTATCTACAGATAACAGTTAATTCATTTAAATATTCATGAACTTTATTCCCATCTTTCGGAATTTCGTATAAACAACGCCCAAATATAATTTATTCGATATCATGGCCCGGTATTTCGACAGAGCTTTTCTTTAATATATTTCTATTCTAGCGTTTTCTGATTCTTATCCATCAAATGGAGTCAGAAATGGCCTTTCAAAAAAGCATCGCGTAGAATTTGCTAGAGTACAGTGGAGCAGCACAAACACCTGAGTAATGGGAATCAATTATCGACCATTTCATGATGTTACGTCGGAAAATGCGAGTTGCAGCAAGACTGTTGAGTGGTTCTCAATCGTTATTCTGCCTTGTATTTCGCAACTTTTCTATCATTTACTCCAATTATCGGTGTTTTAATAACACATATCTATCACGAAGTATGTAACTTTGAACTTCATTATACTCCAATACATTTATCATAAATAAATAACTATGAACATAATTTAATTTAGTCCGGGGATCTTCCCCCTATCTTCCAGTCCACGAACCGACAACCACAAGTTTAAATGAGACTTCCGTTGTGTCGTAATGGTGTTATATTGAGTAATTCTCACTATTTCACGAAACGATGGAGCAAAAACTTATTTCAGCCCAGCAGTCGAACGGGACGACATATTATAATCTATAAATGTATAAAATGCACAAAAATTAAAGAGACTTGTCTACGTTTCAGTCCTGACTTTCAACGTGTTCAAAATAATGCTGAGAACTCCACACTACGCTTTCAGTTGTCACGTGGACAAGTATCAAGAGCTAGCAACAAGAGATAGGAAGCGGGATCCTCCAATTAACGAAATGGCTTGGCGCGAAAAAAAAGGATCAGTGGCAGTATACCAGATCCATGATACTGTAACAAGTTCCCATATTGCAGTATCATGGATCTGGTACACTGGAACTGTTCTGTTTTTTTTCGTGTACGCGATGAATAAAACTCTCAATTACAGCACCCAAACGGTCCATTTGACACGTCTCGCTGCTCTGTCGCGGTTTGCAACGAACTCGACTTCTTTCATTCTAGACGATTGCCCCGCGAATCAGAATGACGTGTCGTGTGTTTGCGGGATACGCTGATTTCTACCATGTTCCTTCATTTGTACTTTACTGACACGGCGTGCCTAGGTCGATAAAGTAAAACAGGCATTTGTCTAAAAATGCGAGATCCAATCATCGGTGGTATCAGGGCACGGTGAAGACAACAAGTCCAGAAGATGGGAACTCACGGATGGGTCTAGTTGGCAATGTGTTCGAGATGAGATCTCGATGTCAATCGTATGGTCAGAACTTCGATGTTTTTTTACAAAATCATCGATATGTATAACGTCGATTTACTGAAGTCAAGTTTAGTGATGAGTGTTTTATTTCTGAACGAAAAAGTACCGTAATAAAAAACTATAACAATATTCAGATACCAATAAATGCAACAGAACAATTTCAGAGCAAAGTGATCACGGATAAAAAATAAGTTGGACAAGATTTCGTTGCATAACAGTCTTGTTTAATTGTTCGATTCAGTTTTAATTTAGTTTTCTCAGTTGCAAATAAAGACGTTTATTAACTGTTGCTTTAAAATATCCTTAGTGTGGGGAATTTTGTTATTAACATCAATGCTTAAATTAAGACGCTTATTAGCCCTAAACAAAGCAACGTTATCGGGAAGGTTCTCTTTCGACACGGTAAGTTTAAAGGGCAACTCCCTAATTCACTCTCGAAAGAATGGCAGCACTTAAGATTTCTTTATTTACTTATTCACTCATTTATTTATTAATTTACTTATTTATTTTTTATTGTTTGTTTATTTATTTACTTTTGAGTTGAACGTGTAGTCATTCTCCTTCAACACTGTCAGTCATACGTCAATTCAGTCATTGCCTTCTCATCCCTACCGGCCAGAGGCTCAGCGCCATTAGAATCCGGGTTTCTCAGACGGTCACCCATCCAGCTACCTGTAGTGTCTCGAGCTGCCTAACTTAACGAGTTGTACTACCTCCACGTCATCCGGACTGTTATCCCCAAGCTTTCAACCTCGCGTGAACCTACCACTTGAACCGGAGGATCGGCCGCTGGTTGGTGGCGGAGGGTGTTGGGATGGTGGAGGGGGAGGGAGGGGAGCGACTCCTACCTGCGCGTGGCGGTTGGGGAGCGTGCGCGCCGCCGGGCCCCGCCGCCGCCGCCGCCGTCGACCCCGCAGAGACGCCGCCGACGCCGACGCCGCCGTCGCCGCCGCCACCGCCGTCGCCTGCTGGTGGTGGTGATGTCGGAGGCGGCGGCGCGGCGGAGGCGGCGGAGGAGGCGGAGGGCGCGGAGCGGCGGCGGCGGACGAGCCACCGCCGCCGCCAGCTGGCACCCCGCCGCCGCGCTGCCACGCCACCGCCGCCGCCGCCGCCCGCCCCCGAGCGGCGGGCGCAGAGGCGCTCGACGACGAAGAACTGGAGGCGTCGCAGGCGAAGAGGACTGCGTGGCGCACAGCAGCAGCTGCTGCACAGCCCACGACGGAAGCCCACGTCACCCACCACCCGCCACAGCCCCGCGCCCGCGCTGACACGCATGCGACTTATATGGCACGCTCCTTTCTGGTCGTGGGGCTCGAGGGGAGTTTTCCCTTGTGCGGTGGGACGGAATGCTCCTTTCTACTCTATTCTCGGTTCTCCGTACCTAGACGTAACGAGGTTCTCCCTTCGGCGGTGGGAGGGGGTACTCCTTCCTATCTTTTTCGCGGTTCTCCGTACCTAGACGTAACAAGGTTTTCCCTTCTGCTGTGGGACGGAATGCTCCTTTCTACTCTATTCGCGGTTCTCCGTGCCAAGACGTAACGAGGTTCTCCCTACGCCGGTGGGACGTCGCATACAGACGGAGAGTCGCATTGCAGGCGCGTTTATCTGCTCCCTCGATAAAGTGTCCGGCCCCTTTCCCTTTGGAATTTACCGCATTCAATGTATGCTTTGCTGTCAAGGGCTAATAACTAGAGTCGGGTTTTAATCAAATGCCTTTTTTTTCTTTTTACTTTAGAATAATGCCTTTTAGTATAGACACTTTAGAACACAGCTATTTACTATTTTATGTCATGACAAAAGGAAATTACCCATTTTTATATGACATTTTATAGCAGTTTTCGTTGAGCTCGACTAATAAGTCTTTTTTTTTTTTTAACTTTTTCGGTCATTTTTAAAAACTTTATCTTTGATGTCATCGATTTTAATATCATTTTAATGGTTCATGCTTCAAATAATATTTTCGAGATGCAACAAATGTTTTCCATAGAATTACTCAGTACCCTACTTGATTTCATTCGCTCAGAAATTGTAACGTCAGTCGTTGTATGTACTGTAAGGTTCTTTTGACGCCTCAGCGCCATTGGCAGTTTGGCCGATTTCGGCATACGCAAATACAGATTTCCTGATAAAGGACAGACCAAACCAAACGTTTGCAAGCTGAGTTCACTTGAACAATACAAAGAAATTTCAAGTACATCAGTAACGTATCCAATAACTTGAGTTGTTCATCTCAAGTGATTTTGATCAATTTTTTTACGTCATTTTTCTTTGCTTTTACGACATTTTTAAAACATTTTAAGAGCATTTTATTGATAGTTTGTGGCGATGTTTTAGGTCATCAAAATCCGCCCCCCTGCTAATAACGAACCCTACATGACATCCGGCCTAGGTTTCGGGTGCACGAGACGAGATGGCGTCTGTACTGGTTGAAGACGCCAGCGCCTAGACCGTGAAGTGTCAAGGGTGGATATTAATATCTTGAGCCCGGAGGTGGGGTGAGGTTATGCGGCGGTGAAAGAGGTTATGGTGTCCACGGAGTTGGTGTATCGCGTACAGCCTTGACCCGCTCAACTGTTCACCCACATTGTTTTTCACATTAAAGGATTTGTATCTTTGGAAATATAAATATTGTTTTGTAATTCAAATTGCATTTACTATTAAAGTTCATGAAATTTATTTTGTATTATGTCACAAAATGAATACCTATATCTCCCCTTGTTCAAATAGCAGAAACACTACGTAATATTTTTCAAAAATGTCTGATCCTATTTTTTTGATAATTACAGTTAATAATTTTTTCAAACACTCGAATTATACCATTTTAATTTTTTATTATTATCATTTATGGACTAACAATATTTGGAGTAGAAGGAACAGTGCACTAGTTTTTGCATGTGAAATTTAAGCTTTGAAGTTTGCATTTGGACATTTTTCATAACATACAGTAGAGAAATGAAACGTAAAATGAGAACGCACTTCTGAAGTGTTTGAAACCAAATGGTATGAAATGCACGAAATAATAAAGCAGAAATATAAAAATGTTGAAAAGCAACAAGATGATTGAAAAACAACGCACAAAAAAAAATAAAACATGGCACAATGCACAAATGTGTGAGTAAGAAAAATATGGCAAAAATTGAGTATGGATATATAAAACATTCCTCAATTCTATAGAGATTTGATATCTCCAGTTCTACCACCAGGATTTTCTTTAGTGTATGGGTGTGTTGGACAGTAAGTGTCCAACCGACTTGATGTATAGAATAATGTAATAACCTAATAAAGAATCTTTCATTTCTGCAGAATTTAAAATTTATTTTTATTTTTTGATTTATATTCATTTATAATATATTCAAACAAAATTGAATGATTTTCATTGCTATGCAAAATTAGTAGAAATTATATTTTTGAATGTTGTTATCAGTTTTAGTGGGTAGGAAGGGGGGCATGAAGCCCCATGAGGGCCCCCCTCCCCTCTCATGGTGTGCCAATGGAGATCACCAAATCTCAAGATAAATAATATTTTAAACAGAATTGTATGACCTGAAATGTTCATGACATTTCAAAACATCATTTCTGAAGTTCAGTGATTGGAACAGATACATTTGTGCATAATGTCACGTAAACTTAGATGAAATGAAACTCTGGAAACAAAGTCTTGTTGTTTGGAACTACTCTGCCCCTATGAGCCAATCACAAATAAACAAATTAACCAAGAAACAAACACTACAAAATGAAATGAGACAACACCCTACCTCACAAACAACGACAGAGACAAACTATACCATGAACAACAAACATCAACACAACTCTTGTCACCATTTCTTCCTACAATCAATACAACAGAAAATAATTCTCTATAGCTCAGGTACTATCACAAAGACTACATATGCAATCATTAGCTTCAAAAGTGCATTTGGAAATAGGAAACCTCTTTACTCTTCCATAATTTTTCCAAAAATCCCAAGTTAAAAAACAAAGATGTATTTGAGATACAAGGACATCTTCTCTGACTTCCCCTTAAATTATTTAGTTTACTATTTGAAAATCACAATTGAAAAAATTATTTACGAGCAAAAAGTCATTTCCACAAAGTGAGATAAAAAAATAAGTTTGCAACAAAGTGTATGAAAACATACTTTCTCTTAAACATATGAGAACCAGTTTTGGCTGACTAATAATTATTTTTTTAACAACCAACTTACTGAGCAATCGAGTGAGAGTACCTGAATATGGACACAAGAAAAACAACTCCTATTAACAAGAGGGAAATCCACTAAAAAGCAACATTTCACATCACATATATATGACAATCTAGTACACAAGCAACACAACACATTTCCAATCTACCACACAAAACTTATCAGAGATGCAATATTGACAAAAAAATTCATGCACAGATTAAACATTCATTTCTTCAAAAGCATACTCTGTGTTTTTACTAAATTCAACAAATAATATTAATTACAAACTCAATTCTGATATTTTGAACACCTACTGTAAAACTAAAATGCAAAGTATTTTATCAAAATATAACTTGAAAAAAATTTTTTTTGACATTGTTTAGTACAGAAAATAGTAGCAAATATTAATGAAACACGATACATTTAAAAAAATAAAAGCAAGGCATTCTTTAGAATTTGTCATATAAATGCTATTGTTCTGTTTTTGTTTCAACGATAGCCATTTTCAATTTTTCTCACATATTTATTTGTTTTACTGTTTCTAATCCATAAGCAACTATTTTAACACTAAATACATTTAGAAAACAAACAATAGTGGAATTCAAAACAAAATTTGGTTACAAAAACAATTTTAATTGTATTTTAAAAAATTATGAAATAATTTCAGATCACAAACCAAAAAACAATTTCAATATACAAAACACAGGGTATCTTCTAATGGTAAAAGTACCAAACTTTTTCATGCACAACACCAAACAAGAAAGGTAAGAAAAAGAAAGATTGGCCATGGGATGCCCGTACTCACTGACACAAGCAGCACCTCAGACCAGGGCGTCGCAACAAGACACTCGACATGACAGGTCAAATCTCAAAAGCGCCCACAAGATCATTTTAAGACGTTTTATCAATAACATTGAGAAAGAATGGAACAGAAAGACTGAACAAAGATCTCCTATTCCCTGAATTACATCCACTTTACACTAAAGACCACCTCAAATGCTTTAATTCACAATCAATCACAAATTGCCATTTAAACACTTCTGTATATACAGGCTTGTATTTAAAAACTTCACAAATTCTTTTGAGCATATTTGCTTTACAATCTTGGATCATTTTCTTCAACTTCAAAAATTAAGATCCACTGCATTAATGTTGTTGCACCTATGGATTCTTAAAACTAATGCTAACTTATTTTAATATTTTCACACAAAACTGCAATTATATTGTTTTACACGACATCCAAAAAGAATCTAAAAATTGAGAATATACTCTCACTCAAACTAGACAAAAGACTGTTTTAGTTGACATTGAGCAATAACATAATTCCTTTCTACAAGATAAATACAGATTAAAATGTCTCCGTCAATATTTTTCAAGTTCAAAAACCAAATTTTTAAAGATTGTTACTTCCTGAATACGTTTCATAACTTAAGGAAGCACTTAACAGAAAATCAAAGAGACTATAAGTTTTTTTTTCATTTTGATTGTACCAAAATGATAATAATATAGTGTAAAAACTGATACTTATTAAGGAGAAAAGAACATTTGTATTATTAATAAATACTTAGTGGAAATTCTAATCATAATATTTTGAACTTTATATCCGGTTTCGACTGATAATTGAAACAACAAAAATTTCATACTCTTCTACAAAAATCATTTATAATGTCTTCCGATTATCACAAAGTATTATTATTTTAATAATAGATTAATTCATTTTGCAAGTTTAAAGCTAGCTATTTTCCCAATAGAAAAATATATATTAGAAAATAAAGCAAAATTAAATCAAATAAATAACCACATAAAATATACTAGAACTACAGCAGTCTATATAAAATGAAGAAACTGAAAACGAAAACAATTCCCCACAAGTCATGGCATCTACCACTAAACTTTATTTGCAAAGTGACTAAAAATACAAAATCTATTTCTGTTTCTTCCTACATGACTACTATACACCACGCTTGCCAAGCACTCACTGCCGAAACAGTATTTGGTAATTGTATATTTCACTTCTGTTGTAATGTCAAACACAATATTCATAAGCACACTATTTAACAAGCCTAAATCTAACTCTACTCTCTCAAATGAATTAAATACGTAATTTTCAGTCAGGATATGAATGAATTTCACCAAATGAAGTATATAATATTTCAAGAGAAAGAAATTTAATTCTTTGGAAAACAAAAAAGTAGGCTTTCATAATATTCTGTAAAATCAAACAAAACCTTCATTAAATGGAACACATAAGCAATGAAAATTTCAAAGCCTATCAAAATATTTATCACAAAAACTTTCTTTTAATGACAATATGAAAAAGAAAAGAATATGTTCTTCAGTTCATGCAAACACTGACAAGTCATATTGCTCACTGACAACTAGAAAACGATGATCTACATCTCTTGACAAAAAGATGACTCTTGGTGACTACAATTAGTTATCACCATTTGCTCTCATAAAAAAGAACAAAGCCACTAACTAATAACTCTTGCATCAATGTGAAACAACATTTAGTAGGTTTGTGTTCTAATTTCTAAGAATAAATTTCAACAGAAGAAAATAAAAACAAAACAAGAAAATGGAGACTTGAAAAGAGTCATAAATAATACATGGAGGAGCTAAGGAAGCGGAAGATTAGAATATATCAATAAACTAAATAAATACTATTTGGCATCCTCATGGAAGAAAGATATCAATTGTGTTGAGATTGAACAAAAATAAAACAATTTTCTTTGAAATACTTATTTTGTTGTATGAAGATTGTATTAGACTGACATTATAAGTTGTCTTTCTATATTACGCTTTCAATATATTTGCACATCTATATTTCGAAACAAATACAGATTTTGAGCAGATGAAATCCATTAACCTAATGAGTTTAAAAAATTACTGGCAGTATCAATCGCTCACCTCCCCAACAAAGAGTTGCATAAATATTCTTTGACATTTTTGAAAGTAGGGTTATAAATATGGCAAGAGCCGTACCATTTTTAGTTCAAGGTACATCCCTTGTAAATCCTTATACAGCCATGTAAAATGTCCTCTTACATAATGTTTTATTTCACTGAAAGGATCATACTGCATATATCTAAAAATCTATCGAAGTATCTGCAAATGTATATGAATTTAATGGTAAATACAATAATACATTTTGATTTCATTAGAATGTAGAGTCAAAGAGTTAATCTTTCATATTGTACAATGGTCCAGAAAAGGCAAATTTCAAATTTTGTTTTATGTGATATACTTAACAGATTGAGATGCAAATAATAATCTGTTTTAGTTGTTAATTAGTTTTTAACATATTTGTGTTCAGGCCTTTGCTTTTTAATTTAATGGGACTTCCCACTGCATTCAATATAATTGAAGAGATCCAAAGTTGGAAAGTGCGTGAAAATTCAATCCATTTTTAGTTCCCCACACATTTTCTTTACATTTACATGGATTGAAATATACATCAATACATTTCATAATTTTAAAGCTAATATTTTCTGATTCATTTAAAATTGCCTTTTGCTGTAAACATTTTTGTATGTTTTTTTGCTATCAACTGCATTAAGTTTGCTTGCTAAAGGTGTTGATATTACTGTGAGCTTTTGAAATACGTCAGATCAAATTTTGACTTAGTCCCTGCTCTGGTTATCTATTTCATCTTGTTTCTGCCCTGGTAATTAATTTCATATTGTAACTGATGATGGAAAAGAATACTAAACTCTGAGAAAATTAAATAATATTACTCTTGGGGGTAGGAAAAACCTAAAATATATTTTTAAATTCAAAATTAAATGTTGAATGATTATTTGATTAGCAAAATATCAGGAGAATGATAATTTTGAATCCACTGTTAAGAGAACAAAAATAATAGCATTTTATGAAGAAAAGGTATAAATGTAGGATACAAAAATAAAATTAAAAAAAATAAAAAAGGGGGAAAGAAAATTGTTAGTAAAAGGTTTTAGTAATCTAGAACGAGTAATTTCAAGTATTCTAGCGATCTGCAGGATGGAATGTAATGTTCATTTGTTCATGAATTACTCCCCTACTTACATTGCCCATACCTACTGTGCAATTCACTCACTGGTCTATCTGGCTAGTGTGCAATTCTTGAGTGTTTGTCTATATGTGTGTTTTGTGGTTTTACTTTCTGGTTTTGAGTTTCGAAGATACCAAAGTTCAATTTAATGCAGTTATCAGGAATTATTTTGACAGAACTCACTACTGTTGACTAGCTATCAAAATCTTGTTCCAATAAAAATGCAGAACCCTTTTTGTGATATGAAGCTCAGTGCTCAAACTACTAATGAATCCTTTGAAATATTTTCATGCAAGAAAACCAAAAAAGGAAATGGAGGTAGATGGTTTAAAGTGGCAGCCATTCTAGCTCTTTCTTTATTGCACACCTTCCTGCATGCAATATCTTAGTACTGATCAATCATTGTTTTGGGAGACTCGGCAATGTTTTGTGAGTGCAAAATACACAATGAACTGCCTGTTGCAGACTCCATAAACTCATATTGGTTTCAGTCATTTATGGAAGTGTTCTTAGATGGTGTGAATTGGTGCCACAGCAAAGCAACTGAAATTTGGTGGTGAAAATCACATCACCTCAATAGATAAGCACAAGTTCGGATGCCAGAAATATCATAGTGGTATTGAAGAAGTACAGTGGGAATGATTTTCAGGGAAACAAGAGACATTCACCTGGAAATCTGGAACATTATTGCAATTGATTATGAACATGTAGAACTTGGCATCATAATTTACAAAGTATAACCAGCTGGATCTCAATAACTTCATTCATGCAGTGGAGAACAACTCCCTTCACTTCATGGTGCCTAAAACTGGAGTTCGCACAAACAATATTGAGCTAGTCTTATAATAATTTCGTTCACTTCATGTATATTCACTCCTTTGATCCTTGTACACCCTGTTGTTTGTGTTAGGTTGGTGATGCTAAGTAGAAGGAGTGTCTTAGAACATGCAAACATCATGCTCAACTTATAACCAGTAGATCGCTAGAATCCCCACAATTTCAAATACAAAAACCTACGTCGGCTCGATTTATTTATTGTTTGAACTTATAAACTTGTAAAATAACAAAATCATACATAATGAAAAAAGTTACTCCACCAAATCAGAAAAAACAGTGAAACACTTAAAAGTCATTAGCTTCCATATCCTGCTATACAACCAACTCAGCCAGTTGCACCCAAGTTCAATATGTGATGCATTTTATTATTTTTCTCCCTCCTCCCCCACTGTTTTAGCAGAAAAAATTGTTTACTGCACATTCTTTTGTTATTTATTATACCTAAACTCATTCTGAAATTAAAGAAAATGTACTATAACGGCAATTGTCACAAACATAACATCTGATGTGCCCTCAATAAGATTATTCAACCAACAGCAATCAACCCAAGTTAAAGAAAGAATTTAATAAGCAAAGTTACTTAAAAACATTAATTTAATTCATGGGCCATTACTTCAACCATTTTTATAATAAACTGAAGTCTTTAAAGTTTTTTCAAAAACTTGTATTTTATTTTCAGATATGTGGCCCTTACATTCTAGCACTGCAATTCATAAAATATTTTATAAAGAAAGTGATTTTAAGTAGAGCTTTTAGAGAAAGACAGGTTAAAGTCTTGAATGGTGAGAGGGACACATTTCTTTCGAATGAATAAAGCTCTGTTAAATCCCATTTCATTTACAGATTTTATTTTTAGACAATTTTTATTTAAATTTCTGGTTTAGCTTTAAAAATGTTTACATACTTTTGAAAAGAATAACCCTAAATCATTATAGATGATGCTTTCAATGTATTTATATATTTCACATATGATGCATCTACATATTTTATTACCAGGGAAAATAAAAACACTGGAATTACATTTAAAAAAGAAATTAAAAATTACTTTGTTATCGCATTAAGGGTCTGTATTAATACATAATCCAATGCTAGTATTTTCTGAAGTAGGGTCTGATATTAATAATTGTTTATAGAATAATCCTGAACAAAACAAATCAGATGTTAACAGAAGATATCACCTGATCTCATTGAATTTTAATAGTGTAAAGCTATTAATCGTTCTGCAATTGTCAATCTGAATTGTAAGCAACTCAATGATGCTTTACTTACTTATCGTTTGCCACTTCAATGGCACAACTGAACAGTATATTACAATCCAACAAGTTACTTAATTGCAACACATCTGGAGAAAATTTAATTAATAAAATTCAATATTATCATGACATATCTTCTGTATTATGATTGCACACATGAATCAGATTGCGCCTCCCACCCCATTTTACATTCTGCAGCATGCCCGTCATGTCACACTTACGAGACGTCGGCCTGCTGAGGTGTGCTTGCGCCGGAGCGGTGCAGATGAACCGGTTGCTGAATCGCCTGAGGAGGAGGAGCGCTTTACCTGCACGCCCAGGCGTTGGTGCGTGTGACGGGACGTCTGCTTTATGAGAGCACACACCAGCTCCGACTGCAACTCGGGCATGTCCAGACACTGCTGGAGCGCGTTTTGAGCCAGCACCACATGGTAGTCAATACCAGCACTATCCAGGGCCACAGAGATGAAGAGCTGGCATGACTGCAAACCCACAGAAGTTTTGTTACAAGAGAAAGTTACATTTTATATTAATGGAAGTAACTCATCAAAAAGGACAGAACAAAATGAAACTTTCATATTAATAGAACATTACAATAAACAGTAGAACCAACTTCATTTCTTTTATACTAAATTTAAGTTTTAAGCAAGATGTCATTCCGATAGAAACACGATTTATAGCAACTAGGAAGGTTTTTAATTTTTTAATGTTTATGGAGATGTAGTATCTGAAAAATCTTTTTTGGTAGCGTATCCTTAACCCGCAAGCAATAATACTGAAAACATCCCAGGTTTTTATATTGCTCAAGTTGTTCAAACTTTACAATACAATCTCCAGCATGCAAGAAAATTACATTTTCATTTAGGCTGTTTACCACAAGACAAAGTTTGATTTCCTGTTTATATGAACAGAGTATCATGAACTTGATGAAAGGAAATAAAATTGATGGATGTGAAGATTGGAATTATAGATGAAATTATTATGTTGTCAGTCATTTTTCCTGATTCAATTTATTAAATAATCAGAAGATAAAATATGATTATATTTTTTTCCCCTCCCAAATTTGAGAGCAACCCCCAAATTTGACTGAAGGAAAAAAATGTTAATGAAATGTGTTTGAATAGAATTTGAAAATAATGCAAGTCTCTAAAGTTTGCTTTCTATACTAGTATGTTTGAGATACACATGTTTTACTCTTATGACAGTATTTAATCCATATGATTTAAGCCCCTATGATACTATTTTCTATATCAAGAAAGAGAGCATTAAGTGAGCCATTAGTACACACAGCACCAGTATTTAGCTATCTAATTTATACTAATTTTTCAAAAATATTTATGCTTATAGAATGAAAATGCAATTTTCCATCTCCATGAAATTTTCCTTCTTTTGATTTCTCATTTATTAAGATGGTTTGGATGTAAGAGGCATTAAAACATTTATAAGTAGTAAGCAAAACATATCTTACCAGAAAAATAATGTAGGTGATTATGGATCAACTGTCTCTGAACCCGTGCAAGCAATAATGGAAACTCAAATGGTTTTGGAGTCTATTTCATTCACATGAAGTGTCCAACAGTATGAACAATTGATTAAAACTTCAGCCAATCCTATATGTCCAGCTTGGATTGATTTTCCAAATAGGACAACTTCAAAGTCAATAAAAAATCAAAAAGCGACCGGATCACTATAAAATCATGGCAGATGGTGCTATCAGAATTTTGTCTTTAGCAATACAATTTGGTGGTTTTCACAGCACGAAAATTGAATACAAAGTGATTTGGGGGTTAGGAAATGGATGATTGGAGTTAATTTGTGGATTGAACAAATACAGCAACACAACTTAGGCTTTCATAAATTTATTTTGATTGGCATCTCTTGGCAGGAGTTATTTTGTTTGGCAAGAGCCATTCTTTAAACAAATGCATGACTTTTTGAATGAAGCCTAATTTGTTCATGGTCAACCTCATATCACCTGTTCCAAATAAAAAAGTGTTTCTTACTGAAAGTGTTTCTAAGACAAATTTGGTGGGGAAAATTTATAATACAAGCTATCTTAAAATGAAAGAAAAACAACTAACACTACATTTTCTTAATATTGTGATTTTTATTCTTTGTAATGCAAGAGTTTAATTTTGTACCACCAATTTTAATGAGTAATCCCCAGCAATTTCATAAATTCATAAAACAATAAAATCCCTTTTAAAAACATTCATTTAACCTACATTAAGCAATATGACATAATGATGAAAATAATCACAGTAAAAGATTTTATGATAATCGTAATGATAATGACATACCTTGAAAAGTTTTATAGCTTCTGCTTGGAGTGCTTCAGATGAAAGGGTAGTGAGAGGGGATGCAATGCTTTCCTTGCTGTGTAATAGATGGGGATGCCTCCATAGCACACAACCTGGAACAAACACACCAGAATTAACCTTCCCTCCCTAAAGAGATTTATCACAACAAACTTCTCAAGGTTGTTTCAAATACAACACCATCAGTTCAATGACATGGTAGCAAAAATATCGATTTTAAATTGAGTAAGCGACCAGAAGAATAACATGAAATACTGAATTTTATTTGCACTTATGATCAACTGCTAATCTACTGATAAACTACCGGTTGAATTTGACCTAGCTAAGTAATCTGTCACTGACGAGATACGAATCCTAGCTGCTGGAGCAATAGTAAAGCTGCCATCAAGCCACCACAGCAAGTAATTTTTTACAGAAAAAAAATTGTTGATGTAACCAATTGTTTGACACATAGGAGTGCTCTAGCATGATTTATTCAAGAAGTGGATAAAGGAGTAAATAAAGTGAATTTTCGCCTTTGAAAATCCACTACTTTGAGGCACAGGTACACTTCCATAACTCCGATATTCAGTCCAAAATACAAACCATTTCATAATTAAAGTCGCCATTATTTATAATTAAATATTATAATATAATATATAAAAGAAATTAAAACTTATCAATTGTATTCATCTACTTACTTGGATCTCCATCTGTTTCCATTAGTTTCTGCACCAACTGCTCATATTGTGTCCCTGCACTCGGTCCTCCTCCAGACACAACAGTCAGGTGATAGAGCCACGTGTCCTGATTGGAAATTAAAAGCAGTAATTGAGTTTTCTACATAAATTTATTTTTACTTTTAAGCCTATTTTTCTATTTGTGAAGTTATAACTCAATTTTCAGATGTGGTACTGGAGAGAGCAGGAAGTCTTCAAGAAATATCAACATCATCACGGGTGTGAGTCTGTTTCGAGGTCTGATAATTCTCATAAACTTAGTTTTGTAACCCCTGTTAAGACAGGGAAATTGTCAACTCTAATACTTAAAAATAAAAGAGGAAACATAAGTCAGGCCATTTACTCTGGCGTACATTACTTGTTACAAGCATATTTAGTGCAAATACAGTACAAATTGCATTTAGTATACAGTACAAAACATTAAATTTGGTCAAAGAATTGTCACCTCATGAACCTAGGTCTCTTGGTTGGTGTGACAATCCTTTGAACAAATTTAATTATTAAAATACATTGAATACTCAATAACCAAGGTCATACTTTGAATCCATTTACTGTTGAGGAACATATTTTCGGGACTAAGTGCTTCGCCAGTCAGGAGACAGGATGGTGACAATTATATGGTACAGAGCGCCAGAAAAGTGTGTCCGCACTGAGTGGAGTCTCCTATTTAGGCCAGGCCTAGTTAAAAATTACATTTGTGTTGGCAGAAAACAGATCGCTGGAGAAATAAGTGAAGGGGACAACACTTCTTGCACCTGTTATGACTGTTGTGGGTACACACGAGATGTGATTTATCTACGATGACTCCTTGTTTTCAACTGTTACTTATGCTTGCTAGTATTGTCTTCCTACTGTATGTTCTGTGATATTCTTTATGCATATTTACTTTCTATTATTCACATATGTTCTGAATTTTGCTTTACTTTATTATAATTATAAGTAATCAGCACATTTTGTATTCTACTTTACTAGATACACGAGTTATTCCAGGACTGATATAAAAACAGGATCAAGCAAATATAACTGTTTTGTACAACTGCAAATTTTGTTATATTTTTTTGTTATAATTGTATATTTGTTCAAATAAAGCTTTCATGTACACGCATGTACACACACTCACCACCAGTCACACACGCAGGAACACACTCAACCCCAGCCACCCACCCACACCGAAACCCCCACACCTTCCCACCCCCTATCCCACGCACACCACAAAAACCACACAAACACTACACACAAACCACAGACACACCGCACACAGGACATCCACATGCAATTTACGTTTTATTTTGTCACAAGCTGCAGCTTGTATACACACATGTACGCACACACTCACTCCAGCCACACACACGCCGAAACGCCCACACACTCCGACCCCTACCACCTCCACACCCACGTCCCTCACACACACACACGCACACACACACACACACACACACACACACCCACCACACACACACACACACCACACACACACCCAGCAATTTACGTTTCTTTGTCACAAGCTGCAGCGCGTATAACACACATACCAGTATAACACACAAACGAAACCCACCCACCCCCCCCAGCCACACACGAAGCACACACACACTCACCCCCAGCCACACACCCACGCCGAAACCCCCACACACTCCCACCCCTACCTCTTCTACACCCACGTCCCTCCCACACACCACACACACACTCACACACGCGACACCCACACCCACATGTAATTTACTTTTTCTTTCGTTACAATCTGCAGCTCGTGCTACCAACACGACTTCTGTTGCACGCTCTCTTCCCCACCGCGGAGAGAAGACGAAGAAGAAGACTAAGAAGAAGAAGAAGAAGAAGAAGAAGAAGAAGAAGAAGAAGAAGAAGAAGACGAAGAAGACGAAGAAGACGAAGAAGAAGAAGACGAAGAAAAAGAAAACGAAGAAGAAGAAGACGAAGAAGAAGAAGACGACGAAGAAGAAGACGAAGACGAAGAAAGAAGAAGAAGAGCGCCGTACCTTGTCCTGCTTGGAGGGCATGAGCAGGTAGGTGGGGCCCTGGTGCGAGGGGAAGATGCCGACGGTGAGCTCGCCGCCGGCGCCGCCTTCCGCGTCGCGCTCCTCCGAGTCCGAGTCGCTCACGTGCTCCACCTCCTCCACGCGCGCGTCGCGCATGTTGATCTGCCCCAGCGGGTTCTGCAACCGCCACCCGCAACCGTAGCCACACGCTCGTTACAGTGCGATTTATCCAACTCTGCCCCTTGGCAGGTAACAGGTGTCGACGGTTTCATCACATCGGGAGCTTCAATATCCCCTTAGTGACGTCACTATCGTGAGATTCAAGCTCCCGATTGGATGAAACCGACAACAGCTGATACCTGCCGAGGGTAGACGTGCGAAAATCGCAATGTTGATCTGCCCCAGCGGGTTCTGCAACCGCAACCCGCAGACACACGCTCGTTACAGTGCGATTTATCCGACTCTGCCCCTGGCAGGAAGCAGCTGTCGACGGTTTCATTCAATCGGGAGATCGAACGTCACCTTTGTGACGTCACTATCGTGAGATTCAAGCTCCCGATTGGACGACAACAGCCAAGGGCTAACATGCCGAGGACAGACTTCCGAAAATTGCAATGTTGATCTGCCCCAGCGGGTTCTGCAACCACCACCCGCAACCGTAGCCACACCGTCAGCCGCGGCCCACCGCAGCACGCTCGTTATATTGCGATTTATCCAATTCTGCCCCTGGCAGGAATCAGCTGTCGACGGTTTCATTCAATCGGGAGATCGAACGTCACCATTGTGACGTCACTATCGTGAGATTCAAGCTCCCGATTGGATGAAACCGTCAACAGTTGATACCTGCCGAGGGCAGACGTGCGAAAATCGCAATGTAACGAGCGTTTCATCCAATCGGGAGCTCGAACGTCACCATTGTCACGTCACTATCGTGAGATTCAAGTTCCTGACTGGATGAAACCGTCAACAGCTGATACCTGCCGAGGGCAGACTTGCGAAAATCGCAATGTAACGAGCGTTTCATCCAATCGAGATCTTGAACGTCACCATAGTGACGTCACTATCGTGAGATTCAAGCTCCCGACTGGATGAAACCGCCAACAGCTGATACCTGCCGAGGGCAGTCTTGCGAAAATCGCAATGTAACGAGCATTTCATCCCCTCGGGAGCTTGAACGTCACCATAGTGACGTCACTATCGTGAGATTCAAGATCCCGACTGGATGAAACCGTCAACAGCTAATTCCTGCCAGGGACAGAGTTTCATAAATCGCAGTAAAGGTCCGTAATGGTGACCAATACTTTATAATGAAAGTTCCAATTGATTGATTGGTTGGTTAGTGTTTATGGGCGCAGCAACTGCTAAGTTAAGGGGGTCCGTCGAGAGCGACGCAGCAAAGGCGGCTCACCGTGTCGCAGGGCGTCTTGAAGTAGAGGAAGACGCGGCCGATGAGCACGCACCAGCAGCGGCGCGCGCGCCCGTTCTTCACCTTGGTGAGCCAGCCCTGCGCCGCGGGCCGCCGCTCCTCGCGCCCCAGCAGCAGCAGGCGCGTCGCGTGGCGCCGCTGCGCCGCCTGCACGCACGCGCACGCACGCACGCACGCACCATCAACCTCTATCCCCTTCTCTCTGTTCTTATGGAATCATTTTCTTTTTATGGACACCGGAGTACTTAGAAATCTGCCACCGGGTGATAAACCACAAGTAGATCAAATCTATCTTCCCAGATGGGCACCCATCCAGGTAGCAGTGGGGTCTCAAATTGCTAACCTCTGTATATCAATTTACTATCTGTCTACGTATCTATCTATCTATTCATCATCTATATCTATCATTTGTAAAGTTAGAACTTAGATGTTTTTTCTTTACATGAATGATACATGAATGTCCATGTATATTATTAAACTACTTTATAAATATATCGAAATCGTCAAAAACATCAACACAATGTTTATAAAATGTAGTGGTTGATCTTAGAAGTAAATGATAGAAGACAGAGCAAGAGCTTCAGGGCGAAAGGGGGCAGAGGGAGATGGAGTGAGAGCAAGGAGAAGCGAGAGAATTGAGAAGAGGGATAGAGGGGGAAGAAGAAAAGGAGGAGAGGTGAGGGAAGATAATAGGGAAACGAGAGGAAAGAAGGAAAAAGAAGGGGGAGACGGGATGGAAGAAAAAGAGGAGAGGGATAGAAGGGGTAGAGAGGGAAAGGGGTAAAGTGAGGGGAAGAAGGAGAGAGAGGAGAGAAGGGAAGAGTTGGGGGAGGAGATAAGAAGAAGGGACAAAGGGGAAGAGACAGAGGGGGAGGGAAGGAAAAGAGAAATTGGAAGAGGTTGAGAGAAGGAAGGAGAAAGAGGGGAAGAGAGAGCGAGAGATGTAGGAGGGTGAGAGAGGGGATGATGGGCGAAGAGAAAGCGTTGGAGGGGAGGGAGAGAAAGGGGAGGCGAAAGGGACCGAAAGGAAGGGAAGGAGAGGTTCCGGAAGAGAGAGGAAGAGGGACAGAGACGGGAGGAGGAATGGAGAAATGGGAAGAGGGAGGGAGATAGAGGAAAAGGGAGGGAGATCGACGAAGAGGGAGGGAGATAGAGGAAAAGGGAGGGAGATAGAGTAAGAGACGGAATAGAGGAAGAGCGAGGGCGAGACGAAGGAAGGGCGTTTGCTGACCTGCAGCGCGCCGCCACCCACTCCTCGTGGCGGCGGTGCTCTCGGCCGTGAGGGTAGAGCGTGCGCTTGGCGGCCCCCACCTCGAAGGCCGGCCGCGCCTCGGCCCGCGCCACCGCCGCCGCCGCGTCGTCCAGGGGCAGCGTGGCCTGCGGCCGGCGCCCGGCCGCCGCGTCGCTCGCCGACTTCCAGTACGACAGCGCGCCGTCCTTCAGCACGAACCTGCCACAGCGCACACGCGGCCACCGCTCGCCACAGCTTCCTTACGACTCGGCACCGCCCGCTGCAGCCTACGGGGCTCCACCTAGCGTCCTTGAGCAACCCGTTATCTTATAGCACTCACCACCGCCTCCTGTCAAGCCTTCAACTGCCCAGCAAGGCACCGCCCGTTGCTGCCTACCTAGCATCCTTGAGCAACCCCTGTTATCCTATAGCACTTACCATCGCTGCCTCCACCTCTTGAGCTACCCAAGAAGTCGCAACCATTCACTTCCTACAAGACGCGAGCTAGCCACCTTGTGTTTTGATCCACGCATTTTCTTTTGAACCGCATAGTTTCCTGTCAACCAACGCCAAACTCTCTCGAGCCCTCAGCACTCACCATCGCGTCCTCCACGTCTTGAACTATTGACGAAGTCACAACCCTTTACTTCCTACCAGACTAGAGATAGCCACCTTGTGGTTTGATCCATTCCATGCTCTTTTGAACAACCCCATCGTTTCCTGTCATTGTCGAGCCCTCATCCAACAGCACTCACCTCGCTTCCTACATAAGCCACAATCCACAGAGGTACCCACCCAGCAAATCGACATATATCTTGCCCCATTTCAACAACCATTAGTTTTCTGTCAACCGTTGCTCTCACTCACCATCGCTTTCTCCACGTCTCGAGCTACCCAACAAGTCTCAACCCTTTACTTCCTACCAGACTAGAAGGATCCTTTTGTTTTGAACCCAATCGTTTCCTATCGACGTGGAGCCCTCAGCACTCACAATCACTTCCTCCACGTCTTGAGCTACCCAACAAGTCACAACCCTTCCCTTCCTACAACGACTAAAGCTATCCAGCTTGATCCATCTTTCGCCCTTTTGCACAGCCCCTGTTATCGCAAAGCACTCACCATCGCTTCCTCCACATCTTGAGCTACCCAACAAGTCACAACCCTTTACTTTCTACAAGACTCGAGCTATCCAACTTGCATCTTCATCCCTTTTGCACAACCCCTGTCATCGCATAGCACTCACCATCGCTTCCTCCACGTCTTGAGCTACCCAAGTCACAACCCTTCATTTCCTATCAAGACGAAGGCAGAGAAAGACTGGGCAAAGAGCTACGCACTTTGTGTCTTGATCTATCTGTTGCCCTTTTGCACAACCCCTGCCATCGCATAGCACTCACCATCGCTTCCTCCACGTCTTGAGCTTGCCGCCCAGCTTGGCGAGGTGGCCGGCCTTCTCCAGGGCCTCGGCCGCCGCGGGGGCGCCGGCGCCGGCGGCGGACGCGCCGCGCGATGCCGCGGCCGAGCGGCTGGCGGTGGAGGCGGCCGAGGGCGGCGGCGGCGGCGAGCCCAGCGCGTGCGCGTGCGCGTGCGCCTCCAGCGACGCCGACGCGCGCAGCAGCAGCGACGGCAGCGCGCCCAGCGGCGCCGTCAGCGCCAGCCCCGACGACGCGTCCACCAGCCCGGACGACGCCGAGGCGGACTCGCACGAGAGCGCGTCGGGCGGGATGGCGTAGTCGTCCGACACGCCCGACTCGAACGACGTGTCTGCGCAGCGCACGCGAACTCATACAGCATGCCTCGTAACATGTTCTTTGATTTTAGGGCATTTAAAAGACGTTTTAAGAGCATTTTATTGATAATTTTTCCTTTATCGACGTGTCTGCGGCGCGCACACGTTGCACTCACACGGAATGCCTCGTGAGATGTACTTTGCGTTTAGGGCATTTCAAAGATATTTTATTCATCATTTTTACTTTCACATAAAAATACGTTAGAGAAAGTTACGTAATGCTGCGGAAAATCGATTTTAAAATTTCAATGGAATTACACGTTTTGGGTCACCTGTACCCAATTCTTTTTTAACCTCCGTCTACCAGTGTGTTTGCCCGTCCGTTTGTCAGTCTGTGAACACTACTAGGGCCTAAACCATAAGTAGGATTTTTTTCCAAAGGTGATATTCCCCGGTCGATCTAGCTCGACTCGCAGCGCTGCGATTTTGAAAACATTTCCCTAAAATTTGGGGGGTACTTTACATGAAGCCCTTGAAAGATTTTTAAAAAAAATATCTACAAAACTGTTCCATATTTTCCTTTATTTTCTTGTAAGAAGGGAGTAAAATATGCTTATAAAGGTCGCGTAGGTCCGATTTTTACATGTTATTCTCAATTTTCGAATACTGCCAAAATTTGATTGTTTTTCTGCGTCATCCTACATCGACAAAATTGACGATAGACATTTTTCCTTCAAATATAATTTTTCGCCTATAATTATTTCTTTCATTAAAGTCATTCATATTGTTTGAAGCTTTTAGTAGTTTTTGTATTTTAGAAAATTAAAAAAAACAATATTTTCTCAAAAATGGGTCAAAATGTTTTGTGATGTTTTAAGACATTAAAATGCACCCGTACTCGTAAGGTATGTTTTAGACTATTATGGCGTGTGGGGAACCGAATATCACTTTTTTCAGGTAAACGTGTGGTAGAAAAACCTAATGTGACTCCTGAGAGCAGCGATATCAGTACCCTCGGACAATCTCCCACCGAAAGTGAGTGGAAACACGGGTACACACTTGGCTGTCCGGGAGACGCAGAAGCTGGTACCGTCATACTCACTCCGTCACTCACCCCTCCCCCTCCAACGGGCGAAATGCTATTTCGCCCTGAGGAAGGCTGAATCGTTGGCGTCTGCATGTGAAACGCCGCGTCTCCCAGACAACCAAGTACACATCGACTCCGGCCGCGGAAGCCCACGCTTTCAACTCTACACAACACTCGCAAAATGAGACGCAGGGCCGCGACGTGACGCAGGGTGACTCGACCATCCAAAACAAAAGTAATATTATATTTAACAATGACATTTAATGTATTTTACACCATCTGGATTGCATAATTGTAAAGAATCTGTAACAAGTATTGCACTTCAGCGTCTGGGTCAATGACCCCCATCTCGATCAGGTTTTCGCCCAGTTTCCCCTGATCCTCGAGCAAATGCTTAGATGGCCCGTTGTTTTGCTTCTGGACATAAATGTAACTTCAAATTAACGTCTCCCCATAGCACGTCACACACAGTTTTGAACTCTTTTTGACGTAAATAAATAAATAAAATAAATAAAACAAATGAAATAAATAAAACAAATAAAACAAATAAAATAAATAAAATAAAATAAATAAAATAAATAAATATATAAATGGCGAGTTTCTGTTACCCACCGCGCGGCACAGTGGTTCGCAGAAGCTCACCCTGAGTGATGCGCCGCGTCTCGCTTCGTTTGGCGCGCGGACGAAGGCAAGCGTACCTCTGCGCATGCTCTTGCACGGGGAGCCCGAGGAGGAGCGCTTGGCCGGCGACA